GGAAGGTGTGTTGGACAGGTGAACAAGCAGGTGATGTGTGTCATTAACTCACTTAGCAACCTCTTCTGATAGCCTTTTGTGTGCACACACAGACATCTCGAAGCTTACCCAGATGCTCCCAGGATCTAGTGGCGCAGGAAGGCTTGTGTTGGGAACATTTGTCTGGCCACAGCGGTCCTTCTCAAATCCTTCACTCTCTGTCCTGTCCCACTGCCAGCTACAAGCTGAGGAATGCATACAAATGGCCTGCCCCTGCCCAAACTGCAGCACCAGGGCATTTCCCAGAGCAAGGACTAAGTGACATCAATGCAGGTTACTAAGCCTGGCTTAGGGCTACCTAAGATGCATCACGATGAAATGGTGTGAGAAGCCACCAGACACTGCTGATAACAATCAGAGGGGTAATATATATGAAGCTGACTTTCCCTGGACAGTTACAATCCTAACCAGATAACAGCATGAAAAATGGTAGAAAAGAGAAACATTGGATATAAGAAAAGCAGGGGACTAGCTTAATTGCTGGCCAAAGTAGAAATTACCAAGGAAACCATATGCTGAGTAAGAAATAAGTGTATACAGACAGCAAACTTGGGGCCAGTGAGGAAAGTGTAAATACGGGTCGATGGCTTGTCTGGAAGGAGATGAACTTGGTAAAGAAGCAGGACCTGGGAAGAGTAGAAGGGACAAAGACAGAATATAAAGTAAAGCAAGTACCATACTCAGGACCTATTGGGCCAGGGCTTTTGTTCAGCCCTGTGCTTAGTTGTGGCAGCGAAACATCAGCTTTATTAAGGTTGGAGTGAAGCCTGTCTTGTTCTGTAAATTTCCATAGGCCGCACACATCAAGGCACATTTCAAGATAATCACACTATCTGTTTCAAAGAGAAGAATGTTAAAGTCGGGTATGTTTTTATCAACAGGGACAGAAAACGACTAGCAAACACAAGCAGTGGCACAGCTCAAAATGCTTACAGACTTGTCCTGTTTTGTAGCATTCCTCTTTGTGCATCAAAACACGCTTAAAAACAGCCTGCTTGGCTATTTTTAAAGTACAAAGATTTAAACTAGGTATCTCTACATCTGGAAGGTCCAGAGGTTTTGTAGTGCCCCACCATGGAGGTACATTTTCAGGCATTTTAACGTATTGAGGCTCATACCAGGCACACGTGGCACAAGGTGCACATCCAGACAGGTGGCAAAAAAAAGTGGTTCTCTCTTTCAAAATGAGAGAAACTTTTAAAATTCATTTCCTTTCCAAGCTGTGCTGTGGACTAGGTCGAGCACAGCAGCAACAGAAGCGCAGGGCATCATGCAAGGGTCTGCTGTGGTGCTGGGGCTCATTTCTTTGGTGCTAAACCTCTGGGTAAAGTAGCCAGAAAGTTTGAGGAGAACATCTTTCACAGCTGTATATCTGTCTTTTTACAGCACGAATTGACACTACCAAGAAGATTTGGAAGGCCTGCTAGAATGTTTCCACAAAGACTTGGCTGAGCTGCAATTTTGAAAGACATAAAAGGGAGGTAAATTCTGGAAATTAAACCTATATCAACCCCTTAGTCAGGGTGGGGTTTCTGCCGTGTGCCAGAACATGGGTATAACACGTGGCTGACATCTGAAAGCTCTCACAGCAGGCAGCAGAGCAGCAGTAAACATGGTTATTATGGACAGTCGGTAGGAATGAAGACCTACTTATCCAGCTCAAGATGGGGCAATCCATAACATCTGTCTTGCTCCTGAATTGGGCATTCACCCTGGACAGGAGATGCTTTCGGAGCCTTGCTTCAAATAGCTATGCTCTGAAGAGCTGGCTAAATCCAGGAGGTCATCTTAGAATAATATTTGGCGGGCCGAAGTGACTTAACATTTAACATGCTTTAAAGGACCATATGGAATAAGTTACGCCAGAGTAAAACAAACACTTGTCTCTCACATCCAGTGTTATTGTTAGCAACTTATTTGACTGTGTGTATTTCTCAGCAGCGACAATGACTCACTAAATAACAGGATAATACCACGGATCGCTCGCATGTTGCGGTCTGCAGCCACAGGAAGGGTTTTACTTTTGCTGTGTACATGTTGGCAGCCCCGGCGCACTAGCAGCAAATCTAAATGTTTATTGCCGCATCCAGTGCAGAAGCACAAGGCCTCTCTGCTTGGAGCCGTTCTGTAAGCCCAAGGGAAAACGCGGGACATTTTTAATGTCACGCTTACCAAACTGCAGCCAAAGCAATAGGCTGTGAATTGGACACCAGGAGAGGAGATGTCACCTTTATTTTGCTTTCTTGTTCCAAAGTGTGGATATGGTGATCGCCAATGCTGGCAGTCAGCATGGGAGCAGGCTGTTCCAGAGGGATGGGCCTTGTGTTCCCTGTCTAAGGCCCAATCTTTGCTGCGGGTTGCTAATTTTGGACACGGGCATCAAAGCACGCTGACTTGGAAGGGTGAAGAGGTTGCAGGGCAAGAGATAAGAGTGGTCCCTCAAACCCTAGGCCTGTGCAGAAAGCCGAGAGAGGCCAGAGCTGCCTCAGATGGCCAACCACATCCCCTTGGCTGCTCCAGAAATCACGCAGGCTTCTGCCTGAGGCCTGACACCATGAGCCCCTGCTTGAAACACGGTGGATTAGCCCCCTCCATTGCCTCCACCAGGCTCCTGCCCTGCCCCTTGCTTCCTAATGCTTGTTGGATCTCTCACACCAAACTCGGTGTCTGTCAGATCTCCCTTCAGCCTGGTGGACCTCCCAGCCTGGAGGAACACTTTCAGGTGGGTTTCACTGGATGATCCAAGCCCACCTGCCATGGGGTTGAGGGCTGTACAGGTAGCCCAGGAGGGCAGCAAAGCCCTTTCTTTCCCTGGGCATTGCTGCAGGGATCTATCTAGCTGACAAAGATGGCACCACGACCCCAGACCAGTCATGTTGCAGAAGAAGGGTATCCAATACACCACAAAGAAGAGAAGAAAGCAAAAAGGGAGCATCCGATGTGTAAAGGTTTCCAACAGGGACTCAGGTAAGCCTTGGTGGTGGGGATAGAAAGGGGATAGATGTAGCTGTGCAGGCCACATTCCTGCCTTTAATGCATGTCGTTATTTTTCCATTTTCACATTTTCCTCCAGCTCCCCGCTTTTGCTTATGTAAGAGGAAAAGTAAAACAAGCCAAGTCGATGTTCCAGTGAAAGGAAGGACAACTCTGAGAGAGAGCAGGAAATGGTGTGTGCTGGTGTCATACGGGATTAGTCTGCAACCTCCAGGGCATGCTGCGGTCTGCAGGACAACCTGGGAAACATCCCAGGGACAAAACTGATGAAACTCATCCTGAACAGGATGAAGGGCTTGAAAGCACCGGGAGACTGGGGGGCAGGAAAAAGGCTTTACACCTCGTTCCGTATAGCCTATTCCCATGGGGATTAAAACAACCCAAGCACTGAAAAAGTCTATACCCAAACAGCACTCCTTGGCAGAAGAAGCTCTGGAGTATTTGTCTTCTTTGGGTATTCACAGACGAGCCATTAATCACTGTTAAGTGAGGGGCACGTGTCTTCCATGCTGTATTTTTCCTGAAATCCAGGCATTTTCTGGAATCCCAGTTCTGTGAGTGTCTCCCTCCTACCTCTGCCCACCTTTCTGCAGAAGGAAACACGCGGAGTTTTCTGGAGTGCAGCGTGTGGCTCTTCTCTGCTCACACATTTGGAAAAGGCCCAGCTAGAGACATCAGAAACTGAAACCTGCACTTCATGTTAGCAGTGTCAGAGTTCAGCATTCCAGGGATTTGGGAAAGATCCTAAAAGCAAACATCCCAAACTCAGGAGGAAGTTGAGCATTAAATGCAAAAGAAATCCAAATATGTTAAAGTATGGAAACCAAAACAACTTCTTCTTTGCCCTGCAGTGACCCTATGCAATAAGAATACAATTGTGATTAGATCACAGCAATGGTTGGAGCCCTAGATAAGAATAAACTCAGTTTTGAAGACCTCCAGACTTACTGCATTGTTTTGCCATGTTTTTCCCCCATGTGTTGCCAGAAAAATACTGAGTTCCTTAAAGAATGAATTCAAAAATGAATGTCAACTCATAAATTGCCTGATTTGCTTGTAAATTGGCAGAAAACACCAGCACTGCGTAAAGCTGTCATTTTGCTGCCTCCTACCACAGCAGTACATGGAAGATCAGAGGATGAGAGGGGGCGATAATGAAACCTCCTTCTGTTCATAGGATTGAATGCTGGGTGACAGCAAGGTCCTCTCCAAAGCGTGTGACCTCACCACCTGTAGTCAAAGCCCTGCCACCATGCAGGTGTCTGTGCATGGTTTCTTCTGGCTTTTCATTCCTCTTAACTGAGAGTTCTCCCACCCCTTTCTCTAGAAAAATCCACTTGTGCATCTTAGATGGAAAAACTCTGACCCCAAATGCCTTAACCTCAGCCAAAACCTTGTTGTGTAGCAGAGGAGGACCTAGAAATGCAGTTGTTTTACCAGGTGGCATCCTTCATCCACACACGTAACACTATGGCTCAGTTTGCTGGTGAGATCCTTAGTACCTAAAAGCTCAGTGTCACTCAAATGCATTAGAGGCAACTCATGTTATGGGATGGAAAGTTAGGAGCAATTCATGTCTCTAAGTGACCAAAACGGACAACTGGATTTAGACCAGATGAGGTTGATTTACTCACTTCTTCATACTGTGCAGTCAGCTATTTTATACCAAAGTTTTACAAAGAGGAAAAAGCTTGTGAAGCTGAATGGCTCACAGTTTAGCACTGTGACACCAAAAAAAATAAAAATAAAATAAAAAAATAGCAGTGCAGTTTCTCTAAAGCACAGATATGTAGAGGCATTCTCATTTTCCACATGAAATTCTGCTGTTATGCAAAGGGATTGTGGCCACATGTGCATAAAAGATGCTGGGTGGATTTGTGCAGCCATGCATGAGATGGCAAGCAGTGAGTGCCATGGGACACACGGCAATATTCACAGCCTGCAAACTCAAACTTTTCCTAAAATACCTTTCCTTCTGGAGGAGTGCCTGGGTTTTTGAGTCCCCTAGCAAAACCCTCCCCAGGCTGATCATTGTCCCTTATCCTGAAGATGAAAAGGAGAGAAAAGCGAGGTAGTGTTTTGGGAACAAGAAACACAAATAAGACAGCTGCCCATTTTCATGGGCTGTTTTTTGCAACATTACATTCTTTCAGGCCTCCGTTCCTCAGGCAAACCAGATTTGAATTGGCAAATGGGTCTGCAAGTGTCAAGGCTGGGAACAGGCAGGACTATCCTATAAACCCTTTGTCCTAGAACAAAGGCAATAAAAAGTATCTGGCCAGGGAAGTGGATTGGTCTGTCAATGTGTCCCCAGAACCTGCTCCAATCTTCTGACTCATTAGAGAAAAGACAGAGGTGGTTTCCAGACTCCATCCTTCAAGGAATCACCATAAAAACGTTGAATTCATTGGAGGGGGGGGAGAACGCACACTGGGATCGCTGCGAGTCAGAGCCAGTTTGTAATATCTTTGCCAAATGACTTCACGTTGTAGCCCTCCTCTGCGTGATTTATGCCGAGGACTGTCTCTCCTCAGGCATACCTCACACCACAAGCACGACTTTCCCCCTCACACAAGAAACTGTGCTCAGGCACCAGGACAGCACGTCCTTGCTCACTCCAAGTGCCCTGATGGCCGAGGCAGCTTCCCCTTGCCTGCGGCCTGCAAGGACGAGCACCGAGCTGGGCCTGGTGGTGAGGAAGAGGAGGGCTCCCCCTTCCTCCTCCACTTGCTCCGGCGAGGAGAGCTGTGTGGGAGGACCTCGTGGCGGATGCTCGGAGGCTGCAGCGCTCGTCGTGACTAGTTGCTTGCAAAAAACACGCTAGTGATACTACTGCGAGCACTCGATTTGACTATTTATATTCGTGCCTAGTGCCTCGGAGTGAGATCCTGTCAGCTTCACACGAGGGACCAAATGAATAGCAGCAATACCCACGACTAATCAACAGCAAATATTAATAACAGCTAGTGTGCTGATAACAGTAATAAACCTTAGGGATAACACAGCCCGCCTGATATTGATTTTCACAGAGGGGCACACAAAGGAGGGGTCATTTGCAAGGCTCTTGGGCAGCTCTGCCAAACGGAAAATGGAAGCAATCCCAGTAAGCAAGGAAGGCAGAAGCGCCCTTTTATTGTAATAGCAGAAAGATATATATTAAAAAAAATCGTTTTCTATTGGCTTAGTAGCAATTATTGGCCACAATTAGTTGAGGATTCATTTCTGTACGCGCATGTCAATAGAGAAATGATATGTACTTGTCATAAAAAAATAAAAGTTAGCCTGGCACAGAAAAATCTCAGCCTAATTGCATTTCCTTTCTACCGCATGAGAAGACACCAGGCAAAGGGAAGATGTGCAGCTCAGTGAGTGTGAAAACAAGGATTGTGGGAATATCCATGGAAAAGCTTGCTAAATAAGGGGGAAAAGGGGAAAGAAAAAAAAAAAGTATGCACAGACTACTACGGAGTTACAAGCAAACGCTCCCATTATGTTCGCCTTATGTAATGACAAGGGAAAGCATTTTCATTCATGAATGGAAATGCTTATGACATTTGTGGTCTAGTAATTTCCCTTTACAATCATCCGTCATCATATCTCTGGAAATCTCTGACAATTTCAGTCGTATTCCTGATATTATGTTCAGTTCTTTCTGTGTAATTTCACTTCACCTGCTCTACTGTTTTTTCCAGTCTATTAACCACCTGAAAAATGAGAAAGCTTTACCTAGCACTTTGCAGTGGGAGTATGAGTACTGTGTTATAACACCTGAAAGCACACAAACTGATATGCAAGTGCCATGCTGTAGCGTTTAAAGAAAAATCTCGTGTTTAACTGCACCATCCAAAAGCAACACGATTTGGAGCCAAGGCTACAAAAAGGGTTTGCAATGTGTGTGTGTGTGTTCTGTGTGACAAAATGCTTTAGTGAAGAAAACCTTTCTGCCAAGGGTATACTTTGTTTTTTTTTTTTGTCAGTGCCCGGCTCACAGACCGAACATACTTCCCTGTGAGTTCGAAGGAGAGCGATTACTTCTGTGCTTTGGAAATATTCACAATAGCACACAGCTGTTTTCACCGGGGTCGACTTTCACAACACTGTAATGACGGTTAAAACCGTACCAAAAATCCTTGCACAGGATGTAATCAACCTCAAATCTGCAGAGAAACATTGAGAAACTGCCTCCGAGTGCCAAGAAAAACAACAGCCGTTTACAACAGGCTCTTCCCGATGTCCACTCAGCTCAAGCCACACGTCAAGCAGGACATCTCAAAGCGAAAGTAGGGCAGACCAGAGAAGAAAAGCCCCTTGACTATTTTTAAGATTTTTCTAAGTAGTGACACAAAAAGGCTCAGGCGCTGGGCGCCACCACCGATCCCTCCTGCCCCTCTGTGCACCAAGGCTCCAGCATGGGTCAGCCCGCGAACCCGCGTCACGAGCGATAAAACACCCGTTTTCCAAGATTATTTTTTTTTTTCTTGACTCTTTCAGACACTTGGAAAGTTTCTGTCCCTCCAGCGGCAAAGCTGTTATATGTCATGTTCCTCGCTCCGAGAGCTCGACTGCTACGCCGCTGTTAGAGCCAGCCCATAGCCCCAGATTTACGGGGTTTTCGCAGGACGCCTTTCTAACCAAAAAACCTAGGTGTTCCTGAGAAAAGCTTGAATTGATTTTCACTTACCCCAGCCGCGTCTCAGCCGTTGTGGGTAAAGCAGAATGGAAAAAAGCCCTCATATGATAGTGTCTCTAAATTTACCAGAAAGAAAGGAGCTGGGGTGCTTGTCCTTTAAGTGTCTCTAAAGATGGTTTGCATAGCTGGATCTCAGCTTATCTGTGCTTTTCTGCTTTTGCTTCCATACATGGATCTGTTCCCAACAGTAACTTCAAGCTGTCGAAAAGAAGCTATCTGGCAGCTTTCAGCTTCATCCAACACATAAATGAGCAGAAATAAATAAATAATGATCTTTTTCTGCTTCGATTTGCACCTCAGAACCCCTTTTTCTTCTTTTTTTCTCCCCAGATTAACTTTTTGCTGTTTTTTTTCCAAAGTAATTCCTAGGTGGAGGCAAATAGATATGATCAAGTCCGATTTTTCTCCTCCCTTTCCTACAAGCTCACATAATTTTATTCTCAGAAATATCTTTTTTGTTGCTGTTGTTGCTTTGCTTATAGGTCAGGGTTCTGTGCGTTTATGACTTGGAAGCATTTCAATGGAATATACATCATGTCTGCAGCAAGGGAAGGTTAAGAGTCAAATTTTTGGAGAGAGAGAGATTATGGAAGAGCCACGTGACTGCTCCCGGATTAGCAGCAGTAGCAGAAGGAAGCATTCCTCTGATATTACAGTAGCCACCGTGGGACGTGCCTGAAACACTGAAGAGTGGAAGCTGCAGTTTGGAAGCTCCTCACAGATGTGTTTGGGAATAAATCACTCCTCATTCTCCTTTCCACCCCTCCATTCTCTCTAGGTTTCAGTTTCAGAAAGGGCTGATATTGGGCAAAATTATTATTGTTATTTTTTTTGCACAGGGAGCCCTGTGTCACAGGTCAGGAAACTAGTCAGATAATTAACCTTAACTCTGCCCTTTGTTACCTCTGCTGTACAAACCGGAATGTTAAGGACTCCACTGAAAGAGCTGGACTGAATATATATATAATTATTATTGTGCATTATGGTGACAACTGGGAGCAAAGAAGATTATGGGGGACCTAACTGACTGCTTCAGACAAGACTCTGGGTGACAGAAAATGAGTGAAAGATATTCAGGCACTTAGATACTGAAGGCTGAACATAGATGTCCACAACCAGGCCATTTGTATTGACAATGTCACCCTTGAATCTGGTGGGTTTGATTAATTGCAGAAGGAAATCCCTGATATATTCCCCCATATGAATGACCTTATTTCTTTGGGATTTTGCCTCAACATTTGTTGAACACTTAGCAGAATAAAAGTTTTGATAAGGTCTCAGAAGCTCCGCCTCCACAATTACTGATAAGCGTTGAGTTATGTTACAAATTTCCTGATTGAAGGTGATGCTAACCTAAGTGTTAGGGCTAACCAAAATGAGATAAGAAAATCAAGACTGTTGGTTTCAATTCATTGCAGAAGTGTCATCCTTATCATAAAGGCAACGTTGAAAACCGCAGGTATACATAACTTAGGAAAAACACATGTGGCTTTGGGTAATTGTAAAAAAAAAAGATGATAATGCAGCACTCTGAATTTGGGTAACCACAAGGCCAAGGGGGGCAGGCTGTTTTCTGGCTTTGATCTGCCCTTTTGCACAGCCACTGCATGTCACCCTCCGGATGAACGGCACCACCCTCTTTGAACTCAGCTCTCCACACAAGACTGGCCAAAGAGCTTTTCATATTTTCCATCAAGAGTTTTTCCATTTGTCCCTGCTAGGAGAGGTGAAGTTTGCGTCAGGGCATGCGGGTGATAAGGTGAAAGACATTTTCCTAAAGCAAAAGAAAAAATGGATGGTGGTGTTACCATGTACCCAGTGGAGCACAGGGAGGTGGAAATAAAACCCCACTGCCCTCGGTGCCCGTTGACTTGTCTCCTCCCCCCTGGTCCCCCTATATCAACCCTCCATCCACCCTGGGTCCCCAGCGCCAACCCGACCCTGCCTCTGCTGCAGTTTTAAGCCACCGAAGAGGTGTTGAAGCCTCTCTTCTGAATATCAATGTGAATTTCACAAGCGTGGTTTAAATATAGCTGCTTGCTTTCCTGGGAGACCCTGTAGCAGTATTCTCGCTGCAGCAAAAGCTGCACCATATGCCCAGCATTCGCAGCCGCTTCCCAGAGACCGCCAGGGACTTGTTATTCCGTGCTTGGCTCGCACGCTGTTCCAAAAGAAAGGCTTGCCGGGGAGAAAGGATGGAGGGACAGACTGCAGCTGACGTATTTCACACATTCAGATGTGCTGCTCAGGTGCGCCTATGCAGCGTTACACGCTGTGAGGGCCGGACACAGCTCTGAGCAACCTGATCTAACGTGGAAGGCAGCCTAGCTCCGAGCAGGGGCTGGACC